CAGTGAGAGAATGTGCTGTGCTTCGAACATTAGTACCACTCATCACTCATCGCTCACCGCAGTGCACCGCGGTGCGAAGCCTCATCATCCATGCGAGCCAGTCACCATACAGCTCATTGTTCTCAAGGATCTCATATGGGCTTATCTTCACTCCCAAGTGAGCCACGTGAAGCGAGGTTGTTTTTGGGACGTCTCAATAACATATGGGCTTATCTTCACTCCCAAGTGAGCTTTCATCCCTCTTCCACCCCTCGACCTCTGTGTGTTGTGTCTCCCTGCTCACTATCTTCCATTCCAATCTTGCAAACTTCTCCCTTCCTCCCTTGCCCTCCATTCCATGCGTATCCTCCCACCTGTTTCCTCTCCAGCCTATCTTTTCCTCCTGTCGCCATCTGCTTTTCGTTTCCAGCTTCTCCCGCAAGGAGGCTTCCGCCGTGTGGAGGGCGTCGATCCTGGAGAGGAAGCCTCCTTGCGTCTTGCTTTTCGTTTCCAGCTTCTCCAGCCTATCTTTTCCACCAGGATCGACGCTCTCCACACGGCGGAAGCCTCCTTGCGTCTTGACGCCGTCGCCAGTGCTGCCTTCACATCACACACTCCTCCCTTCCCATCTTCCATTCCAACCCTCCTATCTCGGCCCCCCTCTCCTCTTCCCCCCACCAGAATCTACACGCTTAGCACGGTGGAAGCTTCCTTGCGTCTGGACGCCGTCGCCAGTGCCGCCTTCCGCCTCTCCCGCTCCAAGTTCACCGACCTCATAGCGTGAGCTCAGTTCACCTCCGCGTGATCTTGCTAATAGTGTGAGCTCATCTCAACTTACTTTTGAGTCGACTCAAAAGTCATCTCAACTTACCTCATCTCAACTTACCTCATCTCAGCAGTGCTCAGCTCATCTATCAACCGGGGCAGATAGCGGAACTATTGATAAGATTACATGCAGACAGGGATGTGCCGAACTTACGTTATGAGGTCGGTGACCTTGGAGCGGGAGAGGCGGAGTGTAACACTGGTGAGAACTCTGTGATCATTACAGTGCTTTCCGCCTTTCCCGCTCCAAGTTCACCGACCTAATAGCGACAGCGCACTTCAGCTCAGCATAGCAAGCCCAATCCAATTCAGATAAGCTCATCACCGTGTGGTTGCGGCGTGGGAGCGGTCACTAGTTCCCAATCTCTCACTCTGATGTCGTTGCCACTGCTGCCTTCCACCACTCCCACTCCTAGCTCACAGCGTAAGCTCGGATAAACTCTGACAGCTCTTGAGGCGTCTTAAAAGACATCTCAAGCATGTGAGCTCGCCTTATGTCTGCTTTTTGAGGTGCCTCGCAAAAATAGAAACACTCTTGAGGGTCTCAAAAGACATCTCAAGCATGTGAGCTCGCGTCATGTCTGTCGGCAAGATACACGTGCGATGTGAATTAAGTGAGTTTTTGAAACGACTCAAAAACTCAGCAAGATAGACGTACGCGGCCGGCTATTCCGTATCCGTGTTGCACTGGCAGAACTCAGCCTGGCTAGCTTTGGGGCTCCTCTTCAAGCCCGGCTAGGTGTGATGCTGAAGACTTGTGATGCTGCAAAATTAACTCGCTTCTCCTTCGCCTCCCTTCTCCTGCCCCGCCTCCCCCCCCGAAACCCTGCTCTCCCAGCAAGGGCGATGTGCGAGTGAATTGGAGAGAGGCGAGTAAATCAGGAGTGCTGCTCAAGAGTGGTGATGTGGTGTCGGTGCGGGGGAAGGGGAGATGCAAGGTGAGGAGGGGAGAGATAAAAGGCGAGGAGGGGAGAGATAAAAGGCGAGGAGGGGAGAGATAAAAGGCGAGGAGTGGGGAAGATGGAAGGTGAGGTTTATGCTGAGGGAAGTCAACCAATCCAGGAGTGTTGCTGAAGTTGGTGATGTGGTGTCGGTGCGCGGGAAGGGGAGATGCAAGGTGAGAAGAGGGGAGGATTGGATACATCTGTGCTGAGGAATGTTTGATCAGGAATGGAAGGGAAGAGTATGGGCCAAGGCAGGAGTGGTGCTCAAGAGTGGTGATGTGGTGTGGGTGTGGGGAAAGGGAGGTGCAAGGTGAGAAGAGGGGAGGATTGGATACATTTCTGCTGAGGAATGTATTTGATCAGGAATAGAAGGGAAGGGTATGGGCCAAGGCAGGAGTGGTGCTCAAGAGTGGTAATGTGGCGTAGGTGTGGGGAAAGGGAGATGCAAGGTGAGAAGGGGTGGAGTGTGGTTGGGGGTTTTGGAGGGATGAAAGGAGACGGGATTGAGGACTGTGGGAGTGCTGGTGAGTTGCGGGATGCTGTGGAAGAGTGTGGAAGAGTGTGCAAGAGTGGCAAAGTCGTGCCATGGGGGATGGGACAGCCATTGAGGAGGGAAGGAGAGGTTTAATAGGGGTTGAGAGGGGAGCAAGATGAGGGATGGATAGTGGGAGCGCTGTTATGTCAGGTTTGGTGTGAAGGAGTGGCGATGTGGTTTCGGTGGAAAGGGAGTATGGTTGGGGAAGGGGAGGGGGAGTTGTTGCAAGGAGGACAAGGGGGAGTGTGGAGTATTGTCCTATGAGGGGGGCAGGGAAAGGAGCTGGGCTGGGTGGAGAAATAGAGTTGATAGTGTGCTAATTCAACGAGCTTCTAGCAGTGTGGTAAAAACAAGGGATTGTGCTTCAATATAGCATTGAGTCTGCGTTTTCTTCTCAAAAGTGCAACATTTGTGCTATGATATTCCCCATGCGTATGCCATGCAGATCGGAGAGGTTACTACAACCAAGAAAGGACGGTTTGCAGTGGAGATCACGAGATATATTTGACGATTATTGTAGTTTATACTCAAAAGCTGTTTCTTAGTTGCGTATGCCATAACAACTTATTGTGATATGCTGTCCCGTGTTGTTGATGATTTCATTCAAAATAAATGGCTCGCTGCCTTGTGGTCGTGGTGGCGGTGACATGATAATCTTGCACAATGAAGAACAAGGGTGGCTGAAAGCTTGATAAATAGCATTGACGCAGGGTACATATGAAAACTAGCACTCTTCATATATGAGCAATTCATGCAGCAAATCTTACAGATGCTGGAGGCTGGTTATTTTTCCATTTAACAGCCTGTAGTGCACATGCCGTCGCTATTGTTCTGATCATGTCATAACGGGTACGTGCGATTTTGACTTCTTGAGATTTTGTTCCTCACATCACATGGGCGTTTTCCCCACCAACCACGTTCGACAACACAGCATCCCCTAGATTTTGCGGTCTGGTGCACTGTACACGCATAAGGCATCAAGCGACATCACATCACATCGTCCGAACTAAGATAGGCTCGACTTTCTACCGAACCACCCCCGTAGGCAGCAAGAGCGGCCAGATGAATGTCCTCCCAAACTAAACAGGCAGATCAAGCCCGGCACAAGCAACCGCCTCAATCTTGGCTCGGAAGTGCAGTTCGAGCCTGGGCCATCAGAACCCTTCATATATCGCTGGTGGGCCCTAATTTTCCTATTCTCTATCAAAGCCTTCGAGAGTTATGCTCTGTGCCCTTCTCAAGCAGAACTCGGCATAGCCGTGCACAGCTTATCCTAACGTCGAGGACGACTGGGTCAATCTTTAAAGCAGTCAAAAGTTTCCCGTGCTTAATAAAAGTGAAATTGCTTGACTCTGTTTTAGTGGCACTATCGCCATGGCGGAACCCTCGCCAGCACTGCCGAGCCAAACAGCCATGGTGCTTGACGAGGGGAGCCAACCAGTCGATCTAGTCAAGCACCCCTCGGGAATCGTGCCTGTACTACAGTATGTGTCTTCCCCGCCGTAAATCTCGGTCTTACTTTGCTAGAAGGTCGCGTGAAGCTTGGTATATGCTGTGAAGGAAATGGGTTTGAATTTGACGTACTCATCGGCGAGTGGGTTCTCTCTCCCTCTTTCGCCCTTGCAGAAACATAGTCTCTACAGTCAACATGGACTGTCGGTTGGATTTGAAAGAGATTGCACTCCGAGCTCGAAACGCTGAGTACAACCCTAAGGTATGACATGGCGCACGGTGACGTAACTAGGTACGTAGGACAAGCCTTAACTGCGGGGGGTTTTGGTTATCAGCTTCCGGAAGAGCTTGTGTATCAGACTGTGGTCTTTGCTACACCGATTGGCGAGTCGCAACGGCTGAGTGTTGGTGTTGAAGCCTTGAAGAAAGCTCAAGTTTATGTTTCTGGTATTTGGTTTTCCTCTCCTTGTTTGCAGCGTTTCGCAGCTGTCATCATTCGGATACGCGAGCCCAAGACCACGGCTCTAGTGTTCGCCTCTGGGAAAATGGTAAGGATCCTGCTTGTGTGGTGAATTCGGTATTGTCTCGAATTACCACTTCTGTGCGTGCGTGATGTCTTTGCTTTCTAACCCTGAGGTTGCATCAACTCTTCGCTTCCCGGATGCATCAGGTGTGCACAGGCGCGAAGAGTGAAGAGCAATCGCGGCTAGCTGCTCGCAAGGTAACTTGCACTTGTAGCTTTGGCCTCATTTCATTGTTGTTCCTTCCTCAGTTTCCGCTGTTTCCCCTTTCGATTCTCCGCCACCGTTTCCGTTTGGTTGGAATGTTATTTGTGAGGCGTACAGGGCTATTTTTGATCGTCCGTGTTTCTCCCTGGTTTTTCTTTCATGGCAGTATGCTCGTATTATTCAAAAGCTTGGAAACGACCAAGTAAAGTTTAAGGTATGTCGTGTCTCGTCTTGGTACCGTCATCCATTTTTATTATTGGACCCCCGCTGTTGCGGAGAGCTTCTAGACGGTGCCTGATATCTGATCCTCACGGCTTGCAGGATTTCAAGATTCAAAATATTGTTGGTTCTTGCGACGTACGCTTTCCCATTCGATTAGAAGGACTTCAGATTGCACATCAACAGTTTTGCAGCGTAAGTCTTTTCAATGACAAACTCAGCCTTTGTTTTGTTGTGCACCTTTTATAGTTTATTTTCTTCGCCTCATAAGTGTATTATTGCGTTCAATAATTATATGCACTTGTATGTTTCATCTTAATGGGTGTATTCTTCCTCATGGTTCCCCCCCTCTTTTCAACCATGCTGCAGTACGAGCCAGAGCTTTTCCCTGGCTTGATATACCGCATGAAGCAGCCCAAGATCGTGCTCCTCATTTTCGTGTCAGGGAAGATCGTTCTTACTGGTGCTAAGGTGTGTTATAGTGGACCGTGTGTGCTTAGGTCTCCTGGGTGTGTCCTACTGCAGGTTATTTACCTTCCTCTCTCTTATCACGAAATTTTCTTTGTACTTCATTTTCTGTGTCACGTTTGTGCTGCAGGTGCGAGATGAGATATACCAGGCGTTCGAGAACATCTATCCAGTGCTCAACCTATACAGGAAAATACAAGCAGGTGTGTTAACTTAGGTGACAGCCTTTGCAGTTGGTGCAAGTACCAGCTATGGCTGAAAACGGTACGTTTGTATGGTATGTAGTGTATTTACCTTGGGTAAGGAGTGTGTCTTGGTGTGCGTGAAAGTGTGTTTGCATTGTGCGTGGACGTGTGTGCATATTTGTTCTGTGAACATGCGATGCCTCTTGACCTGTTGCCTTGTGTACAGAGCCACTGCCACCTCCTGCCGACTCATGAGTCATGCAAGGGGGTCAACAGTTGCATTTGCAACCCTGCCTTCAGCTTATGGGCTCCGGGCTCCGACAAGGTGGCTAGTATTTACAAGGAGGATGTGGAGATCACCTCATAAGCAGCTTTTGCAGTGATGAGATTAAAGAGTTGGTCTCTCATCTGCCTTCGTGTTACACCAAAATGCATAACACTGCCTTATGTGGGGTGACAACCACTTCTCATTTCCAATGTATACCGATGCACTTGCAACGTAGTTGCGAGTCCTACAGTATATCAATCCCTCAGAAGCTCTTCCTTGGGTTTGCCTGTATCGTTCATAAAAAGATTCATGAGCAAGAGCCATATAGTACAAGTTATGTTTCTTACAGACCGTACTACATTTGCTTCCACATTCAGCAGAATGCACCGTATAAAGGTTCCCCCTCATCGGCAAAAAAAAAAAAGCGTGCACATCTACAGTCCGACGTCGCACACCGCTCAGTAGGGTCAAGCATAATTTACCGCGCCCCACGGCTTTGAAAAACACTTAACCGCACAAAACCGTGGGATATCAAATGTTACCAGCATGCCTGAAGTATTGGCCGACTGGAAAATCAAATTCTGAGTCCGCCATTTCTCCACAAGAAATGTCAGGATTAGATCAGTGATCCGGTTAGCAGCACATTTTAGTTGCTGGTTTCTCATAAGCAGCTATAGGGAATTATCAGCAATTTAGAAGTTTTGCACGTTGCTTACGCGCGAGCGTGCACCATGACTGTCATCCCGTTTCTTGGAACACTGGCTGCCGTCCTAGTAGCCGTTTTTGTCCGCTTGCAGTCGCACTTAAACTCCAGCGATTTCCGTCCGCTTCCCTTCCACCCTCCTCCGCCTCCCGCTCCTGTCGGACCCATTGCCGCTAACGACCGGCTGCTTGCCGTCAAGAAACTCGCTCTGGGAAAGGTTCGCGGTCCGGAGGACGTTCTTCCTGACGCGGAAGGAAACTTATACTCGAGCGACGCGAGTGGATGGATTAAGATTCTGAAGAAAGGCGACGTGGAGCCTCGCGATTGGGTGCACGTAGGCGGGCATCCGTTGGGCCTTGCGTGGCGGAACGATGAGCGGGAACTGGTGGTTTGCGAGGCGGTGAAGGTATGATTTAAAGTGAGAAGCCAATAGATGTTCATAACACCAAGGTTTAATTTAGACGTATTATGACCCATGAGGAACGAGGCCATTCCCCTGACCAAAAAAGCACCAGGTAAATTGCAAAAGAGTAAACGGGAATGAACTATTGCGTGCAAGGAGACTCAATGGTTCCCTCAAGGTGGCAAAATTCGGCGAACGGAAGGTTCTCACAAATTGCTTTTTGCACTAGAGGCAGAGGGATTAGCAGCTGACGAAAGTTTTTTTCTCCTCGCTGTCGTCTCTCCCTTTCTGAGGCCCCGGATTCTCCTCCTCCTGGACGTGAAGAGTACGTGTGAGAATCCAAAAATATTATCTCTTGTCATTATGCTTCCCAGGTCTCCCCGTAGTGGACGTGGAGATTCTTTTTGAGAAATTTAGAGCAGTCTTTCGCTGTTGTCATTCTGCTTCCCAGGGTCTCCTCCTAGTGGATGTGGCGACTCGTTCCGTCCGTTTAATCTCCAATTCCTCCAATGGAATTCCATTCAGGTTGGACTTCCCTTCATCTGCATGCTTATTCCACCGCTCCATTTTCCTGCCTTACCTTTCTTCAAGGGTCGTTTCCAGCACTGGTTGTCCAGTCTGTTCCTTTCTCGTGCCCATGGCTGTCCCTGTCTAGCGTATCATTCTGTCCTAATCCTACATCTTGTGTATCTCCCCCCTCCTACCCCTTCAAGTATCTGACCTTTTAATACCTGCCCTCACCCTGTTTGCTGACCTCCCGTCAGAATAACCGACAACGCTGACGTGGCGAGCGACGGAACCATCTACTTCTCAGATGCTTCCTCGCACTTTCCGGTCTCACATTTCTTCCTCGACATTCTGGAACAGAGGCCCCACGGCCGCCTGCTGAGGATCAACCCAGACGAGCAGAAAGCAGAGCTGGCAGAAGAGCCACGTCATGGAGAGGATGAGGATGCCACGTCAGCAGGGACTGCCAGCGAAGCGGGGCCTCTGGAGGCTGAGACGCTTCTTGATGGGCTGTATTTTGCGAATGGGGTGGCGCTGTCGCAACATGAGGACTTCGTTGTGGTGGCTGAAACTAGCAGGTAAGCCAAGGAAATTATATAGAAAAATCGTTTTCAAGTACCGTTTGGGTTGGCTTTTTTTAAAAAGGAATTGGGCAATTTTCTATATATTATTAAATTTCAATTTCCCCTCTAGAATGGGCAATTTCCCCTTATATTTCCCTCCAGTGGGGTTTACTTGAACTGGCAATTCATTGGACCATTTTTGTGTGCCGGCTCCCCTTCTGCAGGTATCGCCTGACCCGCTATTGGCTCAAAGGACCGAAAGCGGGCACGTCAGAAATATTCCTAGACAACCTGCCCGGGTCGCCGGACAATGTCAACAGCAATGGGAAAGGTCTCTTCTGGGTGTGCCTTGTGATTGTAAGTTTTGTTCAATAAGCGCTTTGATCCTCACACATACTGATTTAAACAACCAGCAATACTTTTTAGCCTCGCCGAATCGCTGATCCATGTGCAATCAAAAGTGCCTTTCTCTATCTCACGGCCTCATTGGCCTTTTGCCTCTCAAGTACCTCACAACTGCCCTCTCTGTTGCGCCTGTTGCTAGTGACTCCCCGCTTTTCTCGCCTGTTCTTCACTTCTCCTTCCGTTTCTGTTTGCTCTCACTCTTCCTTCCATCCCCCACAATCTGGAAAAACCCCCCTCCCCTTCCTCCTCCCCGTTCCTATCCCCCCCTCTCCCTCCCTCACACCCCACCACATAGCCTCGGCAACCTGTCACGGACCTGATCCACCCGTTCCCTCTCCTAAAGGCTCTCATTGGTCTGTTGCCTCTCAAGTACCTCCAGCCGCCCTTCCTCTCTCCCATGATGCGCCATGCTGGCGCTGTGCTGGCGGTGAATGAAGACGGGCAGGTTGTGAAATTTCTTAATGACCCCACAGCAAAGCATGTGGGGGGGTTTACAAGTGCCCGCGAGGTTGATTGTGGAAAGGAGCTGGTGTTTGGCAGCCTGCTGAACAATTTCATTGGTCGAGTCGCTGTGGAATGATGAAGTAAATACTGCCATGTGCCCATCTTATACGCGTGGACAGCATAAGTACCTGTAACTGTGCTCTCAGATCCTGTTGGGCTAGGATCTGGTCATAATGAATACAAGTGTAGTATGGTTCTTGGCACAGCTGTTTGGGTCAGGAATCAGCTGAAGGTCTGCTGAAGTTGAGGTTAGCATAAAACCTGTGTCACGTGACATACTCACACCCCATAAACGTGCCGCTTTGCACCCTGGAACTCCCAGAAGGTACCGTAATTTATGCATTGGTTAGGCAGAGCATTGAACAAGACAGATCTTCATCTCATCTTGGTTGAACAAGTCTGTGGCGAGAAGTACTCAGGTGGTAACGACATTGTTCAGTACCATGAGTTGACATCAGGCATCATTTGTCATCTTCATCCTCACGTTGCGCTCGCTGTCTGTGTCAGCCTCTACCTTGGTGGATCCGGTGACCTGAAGGCAGAACGCAGGAGTGCGGCGTTGCTCAAAACAACGTGGTGACCATATTTGCATGCCAAAGAAATTTCACTAAGAATGGCAACATTCCATGGCAAACGTACTAACCTAACAGACGCTTAATCTATCAGAAGCACAGCACGCGCTTCGTTTAGGTGGAGACGATGAGGTCCACGACGCGGTTGCTGCAAGATAACGAACAAGGAAACAGGCCATGTTAGGCGTCTGATCTAACAAGGGAACTAGTGCCTCGCTGAAACGCTGATCCATGTGCAATCAGAAGTGCCTTTCTCTATCTCACGGCCTCGTTGGCCTTTTGCCTCTCAAGTATCTCACAACTGCCCTCTCTGTTGCACCTGTTGCTAGTGACTCCCTGCTTTTCTCATCTGTTCTTCACCTCTCCTTCCGTTTCCATTCGCCCTTACTCTCCATTCCATCACTCCCAATCTCTTTCTGGACCCAACCCCTCCCCTTCCTCCCCGTTCCTCTCCAACCCGCCCCTTCCTACCCGCCCCACCCCATAGCCTCGGCAACCTGTCACGGACCTGATCCATCCGTTCCCTCTTCTGAAGGCCCTGATTGGCCTGTTACCTCTCAAGTACCTCCAGCCCCCTTTCCTTGCCCCCATGATGCGCCATGCTGGCACTGTGCTGGCGGTGAATGAAGACGGGCAGGTTGTGAAATTTCTTAATGACCCGACAGCAAAGCATGTGGGGGGGTTTACAAGTGCCCGCGAAGTTGATGGTGAAAAGGTGCTGGTGTTTGGCAGCCTGCTGAACAATTTCATTGGTCGAGTTGCTGTGGAATGATGAATCTTGTTGTGCCTTAGTAGTTGGAGTGGAAGTAAATACTGCCATGTGTCCCATCTTATACGCGTGGACAGCATAAGTAGCTGTAACCGTGCTTTCAGATCCTGTTGGGCTAGGATCTGGTCATAATGAATATAAGTGGAGTATGGTTCTTGGCACAGCTGTTCGGGTCAGGAATCAGCTGAAGGTTTGCTGAAGTTGAGGTTAGCGTACAACCTGTGTCACATGTCACAGTCACACCCCATTAGCGTGTCACTTAGCAAGATGTCCGTAATTTATGAATTGGTTAGGCAGAGCATTGAACAAGACACATCTTCATCTCATCTTAGTTCACGTCTGTGCCATGCGTGACGTCACGCATCAGTTGTCAACTTCATCCTCACGTTGCGCTCGCTGTCTGTGTCAGCTTCTACCTTGGTGGATTCAGTGACCTGAAGGAAGAACGCAGGAGTGCGGCTTTGCTCAAATGAACGTGGTGACCATATTCGCATGCCAAAGAAATTTCACTAAGAGTGGCGACATTCCTTGGCAAACGTATTAACCTAACAAATGCTTAAT